CAAGCTGCAACTCACCCACTTCTAACAGCCACCTTGTTTTCTAATTGCACTTGAAAACACCCTGCCACAGATCCCACAGTTCATCTTCTCCACCCCAGATTACTTGCTGTGTGTGACAAGTGTGTGTGTGTGTTTGTGTGTGTGTGTGTGTGTGTGTGTGTGTGTGTAATGAATGTGTGTATATATTTTAAAAATGCAGGTTGACATAGGTAAGAGCTGATGTATAAGATCCAGGTTTGTTTTGATCTGGACCAGTTTTTGCTTTACCACCACCACCCATCCACCTGGAGGATTTTGCTCCAAAAAGCATTTTTTTTTCAAGCTTTAGTTCCACCCCTTGAGGCAGCTTAGTGGCAAGGTGTCAGCAGTGGCCCCTCAAAGGTACGTAACCCACTGGAGAATTCAAAGAAATTGTGTTCGTCTCTGCAAGTTAGATCAGCAAAGAACAACACCTCCGCCCCCAAAACAGTGTCACCTTCAAGTCTGTATACAAATGTAGCAGTTAGTCTTTAAGGTGCCACAGTGTTTTTGCCACCAGAGAGCCTGGCTTTCAGGCTGAAAAAGTATTCCCCATCGCTGAGGTAGATTCATGTTCCCATTGTCTGCCTCTGACTAATATAAATGGTACTGTCTCTCTCTCATCATAAGAACCAACTTACTCATTTGCACACTTCCTAGATGGTTAGTAGTGTTCTAAACATTTGAGATTGTCATCGTTTCAGGACGAAGAGCTAAAGTTAATGAACCCCCTGCCAGGTCAGCGTGTGGTTTTCTTTGAAGTGGAACTATATTAAGTTTAAAAAGTGCCTTCTTCTGAAGCTGATTCAGAGTTAATTAACTGGCAGACAATCAGAGTTGATTAACTAGCAAACAATTAATCACTGTTGCTATGGCAGTGTAATCAACACTGAGAGTTTATTACTTATATTAGTAATCCTTTGTCTCTTTGAAATTGCCTGTATCCTTGTTTACTGTATCTGCACCCCCACAACATACACTTTTACGCAAATCTGTAACTAAATATTGCATTTCACGTGTGAGCTTTCCACACAACAATGCACTTCTTCAAAGTGCATTGTTGTGTGGAAAGCTCACACTGAAATAAATTTGTTAGTCCCTACAAGCAGTACTTTTGCTTGTATTTTTGCTTTATTCTGATTATACATACTGAGACAGACTAACGCTCATTGCAAACAGCAAGATTACTGGAGTGTGCAAAGGCAACTTTAGTGAAGCGCAGTGCCAAGAATCCTGCTAATAGTATGGATGTGGGCTATCCTGGCTGAGGAAATTCAGCAGCTGTATAGTCTTCTATACGGACTTTTATATAATTTTTTTAAAGGCTTGCTTGATATTGCTTGATAACAAGCAGAATGGAAACCATCTCAAGGTCCTCCTGCCAAGGTTAAGACAATTCTACAATACACAAGTAGACACATTCCATCACAGAACCAAACCTGAAAGCAAAACTATCCATGCCTCTTGCTGACCAACTTCCCTCTTTTCTCCTGTGTGAATCCTTCCTGCTTGTCACTTTCTTCAAGCTCTCTGAAATTTCTGATTAAAAAAAAGGTGCCGGCAGGGGCGGGGGGAGGGTAGCAATCATTCTAAACTCTGCTCATGTTTGTTCATAGTCCTTGAAAATAGGTTCCTTGACTGGTAACATTGTGGGTAAACACTGTAGGTCAGTGTCTCCACTCCACTTGTGGTTAATATCAGAGAGAAATGGCTATTATTGCTGCTGTTGCCACAGCCATGTGGTTTCAGTGACATGAGCATGACATGTCAGTGACATGTCAGCAAAGTCAATTTCCAAAGAAATTGCTCAGCCACGGGCAGAGAGGTTTCAGAGTAAATCGCTCCTTTACCAGGCAAACTGGGTCCGTGAGTTTTGCCTTAGGGTAGCTAAAATTTACTCTGGCACCAAGTCTGACCGATTTCATTGAGAACCAAGCCACACACATGAGTACCAGGGAATTCCATCCTTCTAGCA